TGTCTCTAACAGCTTTGCAACCTCAAAATCCAATTATTCATTATGAATTATTAATATAGTATTTTTTTTAGTTCATTTATGATTTGCTGTCTGCTTAAGAAGAACCAAAGAAATAAGATCAAACCATCTATACCATAATTTATTGTTTAGCATTATATTCTTTTGCATCGTATCATGTTGAATCACATTGTGTTAGAGCCAACTGTTTTGAATTGGACTGCATCGCAATGGGAACGACTCATGTTGCAGTTGCTTTGTATGTATTGGATTGTTGACAGTGCATTGGGAGGTACATCGCATTGGCCTCACTGAGATGCTCGTCCCTAGTAAGTGCATGTTCAGCGTATTGAGACAACACAAAGAGAACATTGCACACAAGTTCCACACATATGGAGCCACGACAGCTGGTCCCAGAGGCGTGAGGCAGCATTGATTAGCGAAAGTGTGCAAGTGGTCGAGTCAAGAACTACATGGGAGTATTAGATGGCTGCTACAAATACTAGTGTGACTTAAGGAGAGGTTTTTAAGTAGTAATGCTGACACACTTCCATAGACATAATATTATAGTTTTGCACCAACATAAAGGTCATTTAAATGTCATTTTCTTTGGCTGACTAAGACTTTTGCACAGTACCGAATGTGATTTTTATATATGAGTATATTGCATTTTATGTAAGTAAGGTTTGGTATGTAGCTGCACAAACACTGTGTCTGGCTGTGTGTGGCCGCCTCTTCCTTGTAGGTCCCTTTGGTAAATCTGACACAATATCAGTCTTGAGATAGTTCAGTCCCTTTGGGGTCAGGTCTTCCTTTTGTTTGTTTTTCACATTCCTAGAGCAAAGTGCTCTGATTAGCAGCAGAAAAAAAGAAAGGTGCAAATAATTAAGGGCACAAGCAGAAGGACCCCAGTAGGAGTGCGATAAAGGCTTGACGTAAACAGAGAAGTAAAAACTTATCGTCCATCTTGGTCTATCTTGTCACCTGTCAGGATGCTGAGGGCCTGAAGGTGGGCGTGGCCGACCTGATCACCCAATGGGTGAAGGGCAGCGTGGATGGCGGCAATAAGACCTCCCCCTCCAAGTCAAGTGTGAGTCACTGCAGGCTACAAAAGGCTCACAAGACCACTAACATTCTACACACTGATCGACTCTGTCTAAGCAATACAAAGTAAACACAGACATAGTTCCTTAAGAGTTCTCATTTTTGTTACATGAACATGATTAAAATGTAAAAAAAAGAAAAATGTATAGCATTAATATGTTTAATGACATGTTTATCACACAAACCAACCTTTACATTTGCATGTGTAAATGAATAACAAATTACACAGGTGCATAGGCCTGAGGGAAATCTGATAGACACTAAAAAAACAGAATTGGAAGCCTGCAATGTTGTTAAACAATAAGGTTTCTTCACCTCGGATAAGTTGAACGTCTTCCTTATGTTCTCCCTGTTCTGCATCTTCTCCTTCCTCAGTTTACTTATTTCAGCTGTCATCATATCTGCTACTCTCCCTAACCTCTTCCTCCTCTAAGGTAACGGTAACCCGCTGTCTTTCTCCCCCTCCTTACGTTTTTAATGTGCGGAGCTGTTCATACTTATCTTTCTGACACCTTGGGAGTTTATTACTCTGCTGGAAATCATAGGAAACCCCAGGTTCCCATGTTTTGCCGCAGATAGCCTTGTGCGTGTAGCGTGTAGCGTTTGTACCCATGCAAGGTTCTGTGCCCCTCGGTTCTTCCTCCTCTTTAAACGTGTCTGAAAGCTATTTCCAGGTGTATTTCTGTTGCTGTTATGTGGTGAGACAGATGGTTTCCTCTCCTTTTGGTTTTACAGTGATGTCTAATATTGAGTGGCTGTCTGTGGGCAGAATGGAAAAGAAGGTTTCTCCTCAAAGCGTGTTATGTTCCTAAAAAAAAAAAAAGAGGCAAAGAAAAAATACGGGGGGGAGAAGGGTCTGTCCTCGGGTGCACGTCCCACTTTTATAGCTCTTGGAGTCGGAGCCAACAATTTACACTGGACTTATTGTTAGTTCTGAACTCGTGTGGGGGAGAAACCAGATAGTGTCTGATGCGACTTCCTATAACAAATACTGACCCCTAGTGGTCAACACGATGTTTTTCAGAAGGTGTGCACACCAAGTCTTATTCCACATGCGGGTTCTTGTCCAGGTTTTCACGGCTACCATCCGGGTTCTTTCAGGATATTAAAGCTGGAGATGTGCTGCACAAGAAGAACATATGGGAGACCATAGGAGACGCCTCCTCTGCCGGAAGACCGGGGTCTGGGGCCAAAGTAAGTGGCGTCGCCATCGTTGGGGCTTGAGCGAATTCTGCAGCCAGTGGGAGGAGCCGACAGCTGACACTGTGATGAATTCCACCACGTGAATCAAGGCATGTGAATGGTCACCTGCCCAGACTCAGCAGAGATGAAGGACGTTTCACATTACTGTGGCGCAGGTGGGGGGGCCACAAGGGGGGGGGGGGATCAGAGCTCCTTCATACCCTATTCATTACTGCAGGAGAAGAATAACCCATAGAACCTGGCTGTCAGCTGTCACCTACATCCCCAAATGAGAATATGAAATTACACGACAGTATGAAAGTCGCAGTAGAGAGTGTTCACACATTAATGATTTGGTAAAATGTTGTAAATGCAGTTGTTCGTGTGGTAATTGTTTTCTTGTATTTTAGACAACGCCCTCTGGAAAACGATACAAATTTATTGTGACAGGCCACGGAAAATATGAGAAGGTTCCTGTAGACGATATTGAGAATGATTACGCAAATGGAAATTCAGGTAAGATGTCAAACACTAGACATTTCCACATAATTACCACATATACTGTATGTTCGGTGTTATTTTCCAGATTTCCCTTACAAACAAGAAATAATAAAAGACTTTGGGGTTTTAATTCAGATATCTGCTGAGTATTAAGAACTGTGATACTCAGCGTAATGGATTACTGACATGGTTTGTTATTTTCTCTGGTTACCTAGTCCCTTCACTTTGCCTATAGTTAACCAGGGCCCTGGGCAAAGGCTGCTAGTTAGCGTTCCCTCTCCCTACCTGTCTGTTGGGTGCTGCAGAGGGTATTAGGTATGGAGACCCATCTACAATAATTAACGACAATTAGGCAATTTGTACCAGTTTGTAAATATGTGAGGCTGTTTAATCTATAAAAAGTTCCCAGGCCTTTGCAATTTTTTGCTTGTTTATCGGGCATCGTGCCAATCACAGACCATGTCTGTGTGCACTTAGGTAACACTGTTACCTCACACATGCAGTGTTCCTGCATTTTTCTGCTGTATTTTACAAGATTTTAAGGTGGCTGACAAAATGTTTCTTTAAGAAAAATAGAAAATCGAGATTTTTTTACCTATCATTTACGACTATAGTTTAGTGGGCGAGGCTTTCATTATAATTTGCATGCAACTTGATAGGAATGAACATGTTTGTCATGAACAAGTTGGGTGACGGATACAGCAGATGACTGAGGTAACCTAATGCTCAGATCCAGCAGGGAGCTATTCCCTTTGCCTCAGCTGTCTCTGGCCTTGCTGCCCACTCCAAGATGCCTTCCTTATACGCTGTGCCCTTGTCTGGACATTTCAGGTCCAGAAAATAAAAATCCAGACCCAAGATTTTGTTTCACCCAACCAGTTGAGTATAACAAGTCACAGTCACAGAGAACTGATCTGGTTGGTTGAAGCAAAATCTTGGACTGGATTTTAGCTTTCTGGACCTGAAATGTCCACCTCTGGACACGGGCAGGCAGAGTTTCTGTCATATGGGAGTCCCAGTGTCACCACAGCGTGTACAGTGTGCGTGGTCACTGTCACTTCTCTGATCCTATGGCTTCACACGCATGACACTCTGCCAGGTGGCAAAACTCCACGGTTATGAGTATGTCACAGAAGTAGTGAGCGGGCAGGGATGTAAAATGACTCCAAATTACTGGTTACTAAATTAAGCTAAGCTCCGAGGCCCAGTGCCCCAGCTCAAAATACAGTGTAACCACACCCTGTCACTTTCTCAGTGCAAAGACTATAGCACATCAGGAAGGTCAAAAGGCACCATCACTCTTCGTTAAGAGCTGCAAGGAATTACACATCCATCCATCCATCCATCTTCTAGCTGTTTATCCTGGTCAGGGTGACGGGGAAGTAACGACACAGCTGTTAATTTATTACTTTTAGAAATTCTTAGGGACCACAGCTAGTCAGCTAATAACTTTACATTTATAAATAACAGCATAAAGTTAGTAAATGTGCTGAAACAAAATTATACTTCTGGGAAAGTTTCTATATTTCTGGGGTATAGATGAATTACATTTGTTTCATTGTGCTTTTTTCAACTGCTTTTGGAATGTCAATGAATAGTTCTTGCAAAATAGAAAAGCGTTCCTACGGATACTTCATTTATCATACAGGAGTCGTACTTGTGGTGCTTAATATTCCGTTTGATAATGTGCTTTCTACACCTTTTTGCATGTATCTTTCATACTGATGTTTTGATTTGAATTAGTCAAAATTAATTTGCTGGGCTTTCATCGCAGCCAGGGGCGGTACCAGGGAGGGGCTTGGGGGGGGCTGTAGTTACTCCTATGACAGCCACAGCACCCCATTAGGACCCCCAAGAAATTTCTGGAGTTTGTTTAGAATTTTTTTTTATCTGAAATGATTAAATACTGTAATTTAATATGTGCTTAACACTGAATGTCACTGTAACAGTTGTGGAGTACCTAACCCTAACCCTAACCCTGTGTATGTGTTGCACATTTGTGTATGTCTGTTGGGGGTGTTGCAGTAGAGTAGTGGTAGCCAGCACATTAAGGGTAATCCTCAAATTTCAGAGCGGAAAAGTCAAGCAAGCACCATAGCACTGGCAAAAAACACTTATCTGGAAAGCCCACCCACTGTCACTTGATCATGGTGCATTTCGTTGTTCATCATTAGCCCAAGCCTCTTGTAGAAAGAAGGCCTGTTGAAGACATTGTCAACCGGACATTGTAGTACTGCTTTATTTCGCATTTTGATGTCCTGAAAACAAAGACTCATACAGGAACTTGCAATGACATTGTCTTCGTTGCACATAGATCCATTCTTCCATTCTTTCCATCGCCCGCTCTCCATGTCTGTCTGCCTTCTCTCTAGTCCTTCCCCACACAATGAGTTTTCAACTCTGCATCAAAGCTATCCCTCTGAAAACCACATTTCTTCACGCCTAACCTGCGTTGTGTTTCTGTACTCGTAATAGCTGCCCATATTCTTTTATTTTTATTTACTATAGGAACTTAGCAGACACAATTACTCTGAAGCAGCTGAAATTTAAAAAATGTATACGTCTGGTTAATATGCATGGAAACAATTTGCTCATAGTCCCCCCCTGCCCCCCTCCCACCACCTCCTACTATCACAGCTGTGGCTCAGAACTCTGAGATTGTTTCCTATTTAAGAAGCACCATATTACTGGAAAATGTATAGAAGAGAAAAAAACACAAATACTGAATTTGACTAAACGCCCTTCACAAAAAAAGCATATGACTGTTTTTCAGACAAAACCACAATTTGTTATTTATGAAAAAAAAATCTTTGTTCCTGTTTATTTTTTTTTATTTTTTTTGGTTTTACCAAAATGTCAATATTTCTTGGTTTAATAAAAACCATATCGACTATTTGGCATGAAAGATTATTGAGTTTATCAGAAGACAGTGGGAAAATCCTTTCATGCACCACAAGCTCATATTCTGTCATATCAGAAGTTATGGCTGGTCAGCTTTGATCTACTTGAAACTATTCATAGTGCAGAGAAAACCAATAGTTTAACAGAAATTATATAATTTAATGGCTCAGCATGTTGATTTAGCCTCTTAATTTCTCCATTTTCTTTAACTCATCCATCAAAACACTCTCACGTCAGAGAGCATCTCCAGAACATTATGACATTTCGATATGTAAGAACATGTGCTTTCTTAGTGCTATAAATGCTGGAGCAGCTCAACACGGCGAGGGTTTACAGTCTGAAGAACCCAACAGTTGCATGACCATGCTAGTTATCTAGAAGTGTACCATGAAATACAGCCGTGGAAAAAGTTAAGAGACCATTCTTTATTTTTAAACAAATCTGCATTTTTAAATCCTGGTTTAATCATAGTTCTGCTGGCAGAAGGTTACGCTGAGCAGCAGGTTGCTGCTAGGTTCAAAATTTCTAACAAGTACACAAGAAGAAACTGAAGCAGGAGACACCGGGAACGACCAGAAGCCAGCCAGGTTAAGGGCGGAAGCGACATTCTAATGCCAGAGATGACCATTAACTTATCTGACAGTTTCTCATGAATCGTAGGATGACATCAAGTGACCTTCAAAAGGAATGGGAAATGTTAAGTGCAGGTGTTAAGTGCACTGCTGCTGGACATATCAGGCTCAGAAGCAGGACTGAAGTCTAATGAAACAAGAAAGAAGCCTTTTGTTAATGGGAAATAGAGAAGAACCAGGCTGCAGTTTGCAAAAAAATATATATTTTTGTTTCACAGACACACCCAGAAATTAAGAAATGAGTCAAACAAAAAATTGTCCTGCGATCTCTTAATTTTTTCCACGGGTGTATATGGGGAGAAATCGCAAATTGTGACAATTTGCAATATGCAATTATAGCAATGATGATATTATCATTGGTTATTTATCAGCTTATATGTATAATTTTTATTTATTTAACAAGGATTGATCAGGAGAAGGGAGAACGCTAACATAAGCTAACAGCATAAGCACCACCCCCCCACCACCATCAATCAAGCCTCTGTGCTTTTTGAAGCATTGAATCCTTTCGCGGTTCTGTTAAAATCTTTCGGGTCCTCATCTTGATTCTTGCGACCTATCAGCCCCAACTCAAACACTGTCAATATTTTTGTGGTGGGCCTCGAAGCAGCTTCCTTCAGTTTTCTAGCGTTGAACTGCGGGCTGTAGAGGAGCAGTGGTAAGCGAAACACAAATGACGGAATCTCTTCTGTGTTCCTTGCTGTTTTTTCTTCTTCACTCTTGTTGGCATTTATCTGCTGCAAGATATTCTCTTGGGTGGAAAACATCTGGAAGAGGACAGCATCCCACATCTTCATGGCCCTGGGGGAATCTTTGCCCCTCATCTCACCCTGACTCCCAGATTCTAAACCAGGCTCAGTGGGCTTTTTCTGCCCATCTGTCTTCTCCTCCTGGTCAACATCTTTCTTGGACTCAGACTCTGGTTCTGGAAACTTTGGCTCTTCGGGCTCAACGACCATGTGTTTCTTGAGCCTAGACCAAGCGCTGACCTTGGATTTTAAGCCCTTTGTTTTTGGCATTGTTTTCGGAAAACCTTCTCCCTCTGGTAGTGATTTGTCTCCTGTTCCACTCTTCCCCTTAGACGATAGTATGACTGAAGTCATATGCTCTTTGAGACCTTTTATTTCTGAAGCTGTAACCTCACTGTTAGCTGAGTCAGTTTGCATCGCTTCGCCACCCATTTGATCAGGAGGCCTAATTCCACCATCACTTAGAGCTGGTGCAATAATTTGGTGAGAAGAGGTAGGCAAATTAATTGCAATGGCCTCCGTTTTGTCAGCAGGTGTTTTGAGTATGAGTGCCTCCTCTGACTGTGGTGTTTGTTTTACGCTATTAAGCACAGCCACAACTTGGTTGGTCAGTACCTTGGCACTACTTATGTGCTTGGCAGGACTTTTAACCCCAGTAAGTGGGTGTGGCGGGGTGCTTTTCTCATTTGCATGAAACACAGAAGGACCATCTTGTAATGATTTTTTTGTAGATGCGTTCAGTGCTTTTAGTTTTGAAGATGGTGTTTCTACTAAAGTAGAGTCTGGAATCTCCTGTGTTTCAGAAATATCTGTTGTTATTTTTGGAGCCTCATATGTTGGTGTTTTTGCTCTTTGGGTCTCCATAGGGATTGTTGCTATTGATGGTTCTATGGTTGATGTTTCAACCTTTTGAGTTTCTCGAGTAGGTGTTTTAACTCTCTTTACTCCAAACGTGTGAACTTTAGATTTTTCTTCATCAGATAGCTTTGTTGGAATTTCTTCTGCCTCAACTGTTGTTCTCACTTCATTGGAAGTGGTTTTTGGTCTTGGGACTGAATTTTCCATCCCATGAACTTGCGTTACTGATACTTCACTGCCCACTGATATTTCTGGTTCTTTAGAAGCTACCTGAGGCTTTGTGACTTCGGGCAAGGTAGGTGCTACTGTAGGTGCTACTTTAGATATGTTTGGGTCATATGTTGGGGTCTTGGACCTAGAAATTCCAGAATCTGGTGTATCACTCTGGATACCACCATAACCAATAGGTGCAGCTGGAGTGAGTCCATAATATTTTGATTTGTTTTTAGGTTTTAGGGCCTCATATGTTGGTGTCTTAGGTCTCTGATACCCAAATTGAGATGTTTTAGGCTTAGATGTTTTGTATGTGGGAGTTTGGTATCCATTTGGAAGAGATGTGGGCTTAGGAGCTTCATATGTAGGAGTTTTTGGTCTTTGGTACACGGTGGAAAGAGCTGTGTACTTAGAAGTCTCATTTGGTGTTTCAGCAGGAGTGTCATCCTTTGCTGGTGTTTCTGCAGATTCAGATGAAAGAGATTGTTTAAGACTTTCAGGCTCAGCTGGAGTCTCAACAGAATTTGGCACTTTGAGTGTCTGTGGGTCCTTTCTGACTGTGGAGTCGTGAGCATCTCCTGATGTGGTTGTAACAGTGAAAGTTGCAAATAAAAGTGGGTTGACCCTTGGTTTTTCAAAAACAGGTGTTTTTGCTCGAGGGGTTTGGTATGAAGGTGTTTTGGGTCGTCTTGCCACAGAAATCTCACGTGTTGGTGTTGTACCTTTGTTCTCTTCAGCAATGGATGCAACAATTTTCTTGATTTCAGATGTAGGGGTTGCACCTCTCTTTACTTCAGATGTTGGTGTAATACCCCTGCTCACTTCAGATATAGGTGTGGTACCTCTCCTGATTTCAGATGTAGGGGTTGTACCTGTCTTTATATCAGATGTTGGTGTAATACTTCTGCTCACTTCAGATATAGGTGTGGTACCTCTCCTGATTTCAGATGTAGGGGTTACACCTCTCTTCATATCAGATGTTGGTGTAATACCTCTGCTCACTTCAGATATAGGTGTGGTAACTCTCCTGATTTCAGATGTAGGTGTTGCCACTCTCTTTACCTCAAATGTAGGTGTTTTACTCCTGGGTGTTGTTGTTCCATAATGAAATGTCTTCACCCCTGAACTCTCATAGAAAGGTGACTTTGACCTCTCTTGAAATGGAGATTTAGCTGTATACATTGTTATTTGGGGGACATCAAACATGGGTTTTTTGGATTTGGGAGCCTCAGTGATAATTATCTGTAGACTGTGCTTTCCATGAATTGTCCTTCCCTGACTTGAAACATGGGATATTGAGGGCACTGTAGCTGGGTCTGATCTCGTAATTAGTAATGATGGCATGACTGCCTGCTCAGGAAGCTGAGCTGCAGCTGGAGTTTGTGATGTTGATGATTGTGATGGGGTGTATGTATACAGTGAGGCCACTAGCTGGGGACTGGTGCAGACTGAAGCTGTGTAGGTCTGTGGGGAAATCCTAGCTGTTTTCCCATAATTTCGGTGTACTGGGTAAGGTGACGCAGTGTGTTGATAGAGGGGTCTGATGAAGAACCTGGGCTGCACAGTACTTCCATAGATCGGGGTCTCTGGTGTCCTGGGTGGGGTTGAGGGGTCACTCTTCTCAAGGTCAGGACTGGCCTCACTCACAGGAGAGAGGCTGGAGCGATAGGGCGCAGGTGCCTGTGTGGCCGGCGGAGCAGCCTTCTTCTTGGCTGTTCTCTTGAGTAACTTCTGCAGCCGGACGTTGTCCTTTCCTGGCTTTGGGAGCAGGGGTGGTGGGTACTGCTGGGAGAGCAGGCCTGGTTGAGGAGTACTTCCATAACTGGCAGCCATCAGAATATATTCCCCCTGAAACATCAGAAGAAAGAGAGCAAAATTCTTAGATTTTTTTTATTGAAAAATCTGAACTTCCTTTTTCGCATGACATTTCTCATTGTTTTGCTGCTATTTACCTACTCTTTTATGTTAATACTTAAATCTACATCGATAAGTAACAAATATTACAAGTGAGAGACCCATGTTTACATCAGAACTTATAAAATGATTTCAAAACAGTTTGTGTGTCAAAATGAGCTTTGTTAAGAATGAGCAACATTAATGATGAAACCTTATAAGCAGAAGTGGACAGTTCAGGTCCAGAAAGTAAAAAACTAGACCAAGATTTTGTTTCAACCAACCAGTTGAGTATAAGGAGTCACAGTCACAGAGTACTCAGCTGGTTGGTTGGAACAAAATCTTGGTCTGGATTTTTACTTTCTGTACTTAATCTATCCTCTTCTGCTAATAAGAATGAATACTGCAATAATATACCATCACCTGGCATTCCCCAGTAAAACCCGAATAGAAATGGATACCCTATGTCCTGTTCTTGCTAATCTACGCTACATTTTAGGCATATATTTGCATTCAGCTATGTGCTGCCAGGAATTCAAAGAGCAACTTAAAAAAGAATGCTTTGTATTTTAGTATAATCGAACATTTGCTTTGGTATTCTGCATGTTTAAAACATCAGCCTCTTTCATATGACAAAATGACTGATAGCATGTGGTTTGGTGTTACAGGTGCGCTGTTCCAGGGGGAGTTCTGAAGTGGAGATGTGTGCAGTTCTGACCAGACGACGACTTAACTTATGTTGTTTACTGATTTGGACTCTTTACCGCTGATGCGGTTAGCAGCATCATCGACCACCTCTGGATGATTCCGGCGGTAGTAATGTTTCGTGTTTTTGTGCTCTGTGTTTCTGCCGAGAACTTGCTAAAGCTTGCCTTAAAAACAAAACCTGTCATTCCCACAATATCAAATCCCCATTACATTGTTTTCAATCGGAATATATGTTTAGTGAACAAGTTTAGGAGGTTTTGTGTATATATACGTACGAATTACATGTATAATTACTGTGCAAATCATTCCGCTGGTATTTTTTTTGGAAATTTAAATGTGTCGGGCCAAATGGATTTATACAGGAATGACATTGTGCCTTCTTTCAATTTATGTTTGATTTTTGCAAACCGAAATAATTAGTGAACATCAGATGCTCGTTAACTTTGAAGCAGGGAGTATATTCAGTGACAAAAGTGTTGGCCATTGAGATTCATATTGTTTCATTTATATACTTGGTCAACATATCACTGACATACAGATGTCAGCCAGACCCCATCACCACCCACATTTGGCACAGAAAAAGCCTCGTGAAAGAGCCTGTAACTCAGCCGCTTGCGTTTACCGTGCTTATAAACCAGCACTATTTATACACTGTAATAGATATGCTACCCAGTACAACATTCACCCCTTAGAGCTCCTGAATGCTGATCCCATTGCTCCCAGAGTATTCTAGGAGTGCTTATTCAGTGGTTATAATGGGGCTGTGGAGGGGGCAGCTTCCTCTGGGCTGCAGCGGTCCACACCGAGCGAGCGGTCACATGCACAGCAGCGTAATCTCCCTTTTGAGTGTGCGGGGTTAATGGATTTGTGTGCGAAACAGAGTCCCACTCTGGCTTCGTGCTCAACCCCAGCCAGAGTAATTAAGTAAGTATTAAGTGATGCCTCATTTTCAGAGACCATGGGTATCAGCTGTAGTTCCCTTTTAGCGTGTATATCATGATGCCACTTCTGCTCAAAGCTCCACACTGGATTTTACTTTAATCTAAAACATTTGTAAGCCGTTTATATACTGAATCTTATGTTGAATTTATGCTGCAGTTGAATTTCATTTTGCAATGCTTTGGAAATGGCTCCATATTTGTCCAGAGATGTACTGACTCTTTACTGAATATCAATCTTGCTCTGTTTGTATTCTGTTACTTTTTTGAAACTATCATTTATTGTGTGTTCATTTTGGTAGACCTACTTGATACAGTCTGTTCACATCAGTTTCTTTCTTGACAATAACTTCCTCTGATGTTCACCAACTTCTATCATAATTACTGCACATCTTTTGACACCAGCTGTCCAATTTGTACTCTCCTGTTCCCAAAATAAAACATCTTAGATACACTGAACTTGCATTTGTATTCCATTCTTGTTTCATTGCCTATCTGCCTGGTGCAGCCAGTGTTCAAGAAACCTCTGCTTAAGGCTTCTGTATTAATTCTTTGGCACCTTCCCTCTGAAGCCGGCATATTTCCATCAGCTGCTACTATGATCTGCCCAAGAGCAAACTTTAGCACCAGGGTGGAAATCGAGGAGGGTGATTAAGTGTAACAGCCCTCGGCACGCTGTGGCTGCCTTGGGGCCGATGACAGGATGTTCCTTGGCCTACTTTTGGTCACAGTGGACAAAACAAGCCAATCAGTTGCTTTACAGAGAGCAGCAAGGCCATAACATTGTTCCCTTGTCCCCTTGTGAAGCTCCCAGCCCTTGACCGCATTGTTCTATTGTGATATGTATATTGTCACGTTTATTATATTTTATCTCCTCGCAAGGTCACACTACAGACATATTTAAAAAACAATATAAAATACAATAAATATGACAATAGGGCAACCAGGTGACATTGCATGGAGCCTTTTAATTCAAAATTTGAAAGAGTTGAAAATAAAACCAGTCAAGTATATATTTGTGGTGATAGTAACAATTAATCAGTTCAAGGCAGATAATTCAATTAAGTTTATTTGTATATAATATCCTTCAAATTAATTACCCATTGCACTTAATCAAAGTGTAACAAAATAATGATTAGCAAAAGCTATAGAGCGCTAAGTGTTGCTATAATTTCATAATTTATACATTCGTATTTTAGAATTCATTTTTTACATATTAGTTTCTGGTATTTATTTAGCTACCACTTCCTGACAGTCCACAATAATAAATATTCTCATGCACAGCATAGCCAAGGTAGCTGCAAAGGATACACTGTTTGATGGCAAAACCACAGGCCTTTGAAGTCTCAATGGCAAACTGTATAATTACATCAATTGTACTGCAACCTCTGAATCATTGCAGCCTTTCAGTAGAAAGAAAAGTCAATGTCTGGCAGCTGACCTGCAGCCCACTGGGCCGCATCAGTGTTAATTAAGGATGAAAGTGGTCCCACGTCCAAATTAAGAATGAAAAAAATATCTATGAAGTCCAGCCATTTTGTAAACAATCACTTTCCATTGATGCTGACAGCTATGCAAGAATACAAATAAATAGTAACCCTGAATACCACATATTTACCCCACAGGCTCAAAATGTAAAATGACGAACTAGTATTGACACCCGAGGCTAAGTGCTTCTCTCAAGCGCATCCAGGAAACATCTGACCTCCTGTCCCCCTTCATTCACCCGGCATCCCGCTAATTGCCACCTTTCCTCCACCTTTTCAAGTGGAGGCCCAGCCGGAAGGCAGCCAGCAGCAGCAGACAGCAGGCCCACCGCCTGAAACGTGAGCCCCTCCATTTAAGGCGCTGGTGGGGTAGACATTTGGGAGGCCACCAGAGACGCGATTTCAGAAGAGGACAGGGTACTCATAGACAGCCAGTGCCAGCACAATCTACACAATGCCTTCGGACGCATCGCCGTTCCACAAAAAACAATTACTCCAGTTGCAGACCCGTAGGGCTCGTGCGACAGTCCAATAGGATTAGCAGAGCTGAGTAATAATAATAATAATAATAATTAATAAATAAGTGGTTTCAAGAAACTTACCAGGAGGTGTTTATTGCAGGCGACAAACTCACACTGGACTAAAAACCCTTCAAAGTGGGGAAAAAAGAGAAAAACTAACTGCAAGTGTAATTCTGTGGGGGATAAAACAAGTAAAAACCTTAAAATGTTTTGGTGAGTTTTTTTTTGACAATTAAGATGATTACTGTCTAATATCAAACATTCAAAGCTCAGATAATCGCTACAGCCATGCTACATTTTGACTTTAATGTTGGTTTAGTTTGGCCTTTCAGTCTTTTGCACGCCGAATGGTCAAACGTTTTAGCCCCAGTGGGGGGGTTAAAGCCCACATCAGGGACCAACCCCGACACCTGCCCCCCGGGGGGCTGCACCGCCGGACCTCAGTCAACGCGTCGCTGCAAACCGGCGAGAGTAGAAAATGCGGATTCGAGTGCCGTTTACCTGTGTGAGTGCCGGTTAGGGGGCTACTGGCTGCCGCCTGCAAGTCCCAGCCTGGAGTGTCAGACGGAGAGACTCATCTTGTCCCCAGCTGTGCCCTTCCTCACATGGACGGTACGGCCTCCATGCCACGCTAAAAATATAACAGACGGTCCCCTAGCGGAACAGACATGTTCCGCTAGGGGACCGTCTGCTAGGTAGGAGGCGAACGGAGCACCTTAGATGCCCCCCCCCCCACCGTTGTCATGCAGCTTGCGAGGCATTGATTTATACATTTACATAGCGCCCCCTGCAGGTAGCTATGTAGCTGTTCCTTATTTGAAGTTTACTAGATCTAGACTGAAACGGAGCCCTGTCCATCTCCACAGACCACTAAAGTGGGTGTGTCTGCTGTTACTGATCTAGTAACGTTGTTGTACATTGTACTGGGATTTAATAAGCTACAAAAGCAACCCAAATTAAACAGTTATACACCTTACACATATTCAAGTCGAAATTACTTGTACTTGGCTTAATCAGTTCATAGTCATAAAGTCATTCATCTTCACGTCCTGATCAAGTTTTCTTCCTACGCTGGACAACTAGCTATTCTGTTTATGTCATAAATACACTGTCGTCATAGTTGTGCTGCGGTTTGAAAACAGCACATTCGCATCTTATGTTGACTGGACTTTGTGACGACAATCTTCCCGAGGAGATTTACTAGGGGTATGCTAGGAGTATACTAGGAGTATACTAGCCTCTTCACCTGTCCATTACATGTCGCCACGACTCACAGGTCATTAATTCATTTTGCTTGCCTAGTTCGATGGCAAATATAGCACAAGAAACCTTGGCAGCTCCTCTCCAAAGTTGTGCCTCCCTGCCCTGCATCATCGGTCTATCTCCTTATTCAGCGCCTGGGCCAAGACGTCACTGACCCCTTGACCCTGACGCGCCATCGACCAATGAGCGATCTCATTGGATCAGATATCACTATAACAGGAGGACTTAACCCGACAGGGAGGTTTGCAGAACCTGACGGCCAGTCTCCGCCAAGTGGAAAATCACTTCCTTCAGCTCTTTTCAGGTAAGTCAATGTGGGTCAGGGCTGCCTGTGTTATGTGAAGGTACTGAGAACCTGTGGCCTGCATAAAATATAGAAAACACATGCAGATGAGTGGCTCTGGGATCTCAGGTGTTAAGGTGGGGGCTGATGACATCACCACCCTCCCAAATGCAGCTAGTGCACTCTTAAAGAAATAGACTTACATTCGCAAGGTCCACTATTCAAATGTTTTGTACCCTTGAATGACAAAACAACATTTTAAGTTTAAAAGATGCAAGCCATTACTTGGAATGAAGGTTTCTTCTTGCTAAGTGTTTCAGTAATAGACAGAGAGTGGTATAAATCAGGAAAGGATACTATTAGTGGTTATTTGGGCCTGGGATTGCTTCCATTTTGACTGATGGCAGTGTGACTAACTTTCTCCATGGGTACCACCCACTAGAGGGAAGACCATGGCCGGTACAAGCTTCATTCAAATCAGAGCATGTATTTCATATGTTCTGACGACACATCTGTGTGGGGGAAGAGGCTTGTCAGGAACATATACAAGCATGGTCAGCATATTCTAGGATGCAGCTATGGAAGCTCGTGTTTCACATCTCCCTACGCAGTGTAGTTGCCCTCAGACAAAGATGCCCCACTCTCTCTGGACATGGTATTTTTAAGCCTTGGATTTGCAGCAATGTACCAATGTGCACAATGACAACGAAGGCTTAGCGGGAAGCAGGGGTGACTATAATGGAGGTTAGGACAATGCTCCTGTGGTTTAGCTGCCAGATGCCTTACTAATACTAATGCTCTGTGGCAGCGTCAGTGAGCTGCCGTCTGATCGCTGGTGACAGGGTGGGCCATCGTTTCCGTCGGAGATACAGAGGGTCCCCTTTCCTTCACTTTTAATAGGCGAATTGGCCACGCCCTCCCACCTATATAACACAGGAAGACACGACAGTTAGTATGATGGCTACAACACACTGTAACCTGGAGGAGGCTGCTCCAAGGGTGTTTCTAGACATGCGTACTTGACCGTACTTGTGTTCTCATCCCGTTTTACATCATCCTCCATTGCCGAAGACCAGTTCCAATACTAACAGAAGTACACAAGGACAGTAAAAATCCCAGGATATCATTCTTGCCCTGCGCCAAACGTCACGGATGCATCGATTGCATCCTCGCCAAACGAGACCAATCTCATGATTCATTGCACCCCAAGGTTGAGCTCGGGAGGCAAGTTAGCAAGACCAGTTTTACCAAAACCACAAGCAGGATCTTTGCGTTCTTGGTATTGAGAAGAACCCAAGTCTGGGTCTGGACTGACCAGCTGGTCAGGAGGGCATCATCCTGGGGGACCAATGGATTTGTGGGGACCCCCCCCCCCCTTCCTCAGCAAAAGTTATCATAGGCGACCGTCCCCCCCTATTGGACAATTTATCGTGGGGGCCCTCAAAATCCAGGCCGGCGTTTTAACCCCAGAGCCCCGGTGTACTTATCCTTTGGCAATGTACTTAACCAGCAGAATATCCAAGTGAATACATTTGTGACACCCAACACACCATTTTGGATACAAATATCAACCTATATGCGAGTTATTAGTCAAACAAAAGCCAGGAATAGAAATTCTCCCAGCCTCATCCACCCCAATCAAGCACCACGTGACATATTTACATTTATTTTGCTCCCAAATGAAAAAGTCAATTACTCATCGGAAAGATGTGTCCTCTTTGTGAATCATGTCCAGCTATGGAGGGATGGGTTGGGGGGGGGGGGTGTGTGAAATCCAAGGGGACGAAAACGAGCTGAGAGTGAGAAATATGACACTGCACTATTTGCAAAGGTTATGTGCAGCTGTCTCAGATGGAATACCAAGGAAGTGAAAAATCGCCCCATAGTCAAGGTTACTGTTGCATTTCTCTGTTTTATATGTCTCTAATTAATACAATTAAGCAATGGAAGTAAATACAGAGAGTGTTTCACATAATTGTGACAAACAGAAATAATAAAATATTGATTAGCTCAGTTTTGCTAAAAGAACAACAACATGGGAACTTATATGTATAGTTCAGGAGTTTCAGGAACCCTATAAAGAAAATCAACCAAAATACCAAGTGAAATTCAGGATCCGCTGAACCTGACCCCTGAGCTCTGCTTTGGAATGAAGGAGATGCATGTTTATATGCCTTACTTAACATCTGTATATAAGTACTAAAAGAGTATTGAATTTCAGTTGACTTTTTCATGTCTAATAATAAAACGAAGTCACTCTCGTTACACATACCATTCACATTTAAATATAAATTTTCCACAATGAGAACTAGTCATCAATGAAGCACCGCTTCTCCTTGAAGCTGGAATCTAATCCTGGTAGTTTCTAACTGGAACACTTTGTAAATCAGTAATTTTCCTTACAAAAATATTAATGCACTAAAGGGAACACAAAGAGTAAACAAAGTATATAGAACAAATTGTATCATGACCAGATGCATAGTGTTAATTCAAGGAATATGAATCATATTTATGTTACTAGGATGATTAATAACTACATTCCAAGGGTCACTAGCCTTGTCAATCTCCCTTGAATTGCCTATCGTAGTCTTCATGTCATACACACGCACACACATGCACACACACAAACACACACGTTGGCACACCTTTATATTCCATTCATTTCTATGGGAAAAACCCTAACCCCATTCACCTTAACCATAAGTAACCAAACAAAATACAGGTCTTTTGGCATTTTTACTTTTATGATTGCATTGACAGATTTTTATAAAACTGAGGTTATCTAAATGGGGACCTGAAAAAGATCTATGAAAACACACACACTTACACACAGACACAAACATTAACCTATCAGGACTAAAACGGGAGGGGCTTTGGGACTGGGGTTGTAGTCAGCTATAAATGGGAAGTGAGTGGAGCACCTTGGAGTCGCACTGAAGCTGCTTCTCTCCTCCACATCTCCTCCCAGGTCCCCTCTCACCATGTCTGACACCGAGGACGTGTAAGTATCCGTACTTTCTCGTTTCCCATTTCCTCTCCCATCTGTTATTTTCCCCATTCTGTTAAAATGTTCCCCATTCTGCACAAAATAGCCACGTCTTCATGAATTCAGCATTTATACATAAATACATATAAATACATGATCACTCCTCATGTACGTGTGATGCTCGTAACTAATGTCTTTGGCTCACCTTCGGAAAGTGCTGGTCTAACAGCCTCCCCTGTGAGGCTTTAGGGACCACATGTGGGACTGACTTTTTCCCTGTGTATTTTTTTCAGTGATCAATACGAGGGTAAGTGGCTGTTTCTCTACCTCTGAGTCACCATTTAAACAGTAATAAATTCCTTATTACCTTTGTTATTACTATGATCCCTGTTTGTGTTTTCTAATATATTCCATTAGAAGAGCAACATTACCAGCCTGATTATTATTAGTATTATTATTAGCAGTAGTAGTAATATTTTTAGTATTATGGTCATGTCATTCCTGCCAGCTTACAGCATAGTCTCTATATAGAGATGATGGATGTATATTTAAGCAATTAAGTAGCGTATGTTTAATTGTTTAAGGGCGTGGAGTATAGTGGAGTATTAAGTGTAAGATGTTTTTGAGACCTTTTCATGTGCCGTAATGATGTCGGAGTCAGAAGGTTTCCAGCACTGCGTTCAGACCTCATGGTGCTTCTGGTATTGCAGAACCATCTCCTCGAAAAGCCTAGTTTTAGTGGTCTGAGTATATGCGTGAGTGACATAATCTGTCCACAGCCTATCCCACTGTAGTAATAAGGAAAACTTGCATCTGGCCCCTAGCAGTGGTGATTAATACTGGAGTTTACTGGAGATGATAAGCAGGAGCGCTGGGGATGTGTGCATGGTGTGATAGGAGAATGCTGCATTGCTAGATGGTGACCAAAATGATCACCGCACAAAGGAACATTAGCCAATGAGCCAAGGAATTCTTACAGCTGTTTTCATGTTCCTTTGAAAAGTATCCCGTGTTTGAATGCATAATTCAAACAGGCCTAGTCACTCACCAGCTCTATGTGTTGAATGTGCAACAATGCTTTTGGTCGGTTTCTATAAATGTGCCAGAGGTAGATTGTTCAGTTGCAGAAAATAAATACTGAAACCAAGATTTTGTTTCAACCAACCAGTTGAGTATAAGGAGTCAGAGTCACAGAGAACACAACTGGTTGGTTGAAGCAAAATCTTGTTCTGGATTTCTGCTTTCTGGACCTGAAGTATCTACCTCTGAAATCTGTCACAATTCAGGCTTGTGACCTTCTTTAATTCCATTGTTTTATTGCTTTTTTGGGAAAATGAAGAATACGAAGGGGAAGGTAAAAAGAACAAATTAAAAATTCAATCTTTACCTTATTCAATACTAATTTGTTACCATTTTCACTAGTTTGCTTGCTTTTGTCATTGGATTATCATTTACTTTTGGCATGGTAGACACAAACTCACCAATACCTGTCGTCTTTATTATAGCTTGCTGTGTCAGTGGTATTAGCTAGTATCGAGGACTGAGATTTGTTGTATATATAATGCAAGGAGAAAGAAACATTTCATTAAGTATCTGACGATCCATTCTGCAGATAAAAGCCATACGACGTAAGGAATACTGAATCTTAATGCCGGCTTATCTCTTTATTTAGTCAATTTCACAAAAGCAACCCAACATCTTACATTTAAAAACAAGCTATGATACTCTGTAGGCCTTGCTCTCTATATCAGTGATTAATGAAAGATTTCCAAGGCAAAAAAATAAATATATATATATATATATTCCGCTTCTTGATGCTCTAGTTCCCTCCACTTTGTAACAAACACCTCGGATTATGGTGATGATGACTGTCCCTCACTTGGTGAACCAGACCAGCTCCATCAAAACTACGACATGCCCTCACCCTTTCTGACCGGAGAGTAACCCTCTCGACATACCAACTAGCAGAGTCATAAGCATGCTCTAGTTTCCACTGCCTTCTTGCCCCCCCCCCAGTGGGGCAGAGTGGGTGAGGCTCACACAGACCTAAGTCTGAGAAACCAGTTGATACTACAGGCTGGTCAGGTTAGTCGAAGCTCAAGACACACATCTTTTAATTACGCTCATCTCTGAGTTATTTTTCTAATCTCTTCAGTTTTAATCTCTTTAAGATGAGTCAGAGTGGCTTCTAAGTGACAAAAAATATTAATGACCATTAATTCAGAAGGAAAATTTAAACTTCAGATGATGCAGAAATTCCTTCTATTGCATGTAACAGGTTCAGCCCAAGTGCCCCCAGTACTTAACCCCCGTTTGTTTTATGGTCAGACTCTTTCCTTGTTATTTTCTTGCACCTACTCGTCTTGAAGAGGACCCCACTAATCCGTCACCGTCTCGTCTCCTTTTAATCCAGCAACCTTTATCGGCTCTGATGCCACTTACTTTTTCTTGCACTCTATATCCTTTCGCCAAAAACTGTGCTTTGCTTCTACTGCTTGATGCATGCCATACATCAGTAGACAAGGATGTGGTAGCAGTAGAGGTAGCACCAGAGGTGGCCAATGAGCCAGAACCAGAACCAGAGCCAGTGGAAAAGGTGCATGAAGAGATGTATGAGCAAGGTATGTGGAATGCATATTCATTCATCCTTCCAAAACTCTACTTCACCTGACATGGGGAGATAAAACAGAGCAGTGTTTCTCAACTCAGTCCTCGGGCACCCCAGACAGTCCACATTTTTGCTACCACCCAGTTCCCAACACACCTGTACCAGGTATTTGGTGTTCTTGATTGGCTGAGAGCTGAGAGGGAGCAAAATTGTGAACTGTCTGGGGTCCCTGAGAACTGGATTGAGAAACACTAAAATACAGAACATTTGTCACACCATCCATACAGGCAGAGTAATAAATGGGTCAAGGAACTGTGCAAACCCCAGGCCAAAATGAAATCTGCAACTGCAATGGAGGCACTTCCTCTTCATAACTGACCACTGTGAAGAAAATACAGTCTTTCTATATTGTATAAATGCCCCTGCCTAGCAGACAGGTACCTTCCCATAAACCTGATTTCTTCAGAGCCTAATCACTGCTGGCTGAGGCTCTTCCCATGCTTTACTTCTGCAGTCGCACCTGAAAATCCTCAAAGCCATGTCCACCTGCCATAATGTCCACCTGCAGTAATGTCCACCTGCAGTAATGTCCACCTGCAATAATGTCCACCTGCAATAATGTCCACCTGCCGTAATGTCCACCTGCAGTAATGTCCACCTGCAGTAAGTCCACCTGCAGTAATGCCCACCTGCAATACCCATCTGTAAACCCAGAGCAGTTCTTTGCTGATAATAATGCTCATTTTGAAATGGCAGGAATAATATTGGAATAATTCCAATTATTGGAATAATTCTAAAACATTTGATGCAAATTTTCTCTTTTAATCTGCTTTGCTTTTGTCCCACTTTTTGCAATTCAATCGGCAATAGCCAACCAAGCTCTGCTTACAGAGGCTCAGTTAAAACGGCAAACGTGCAAGCAGCTGAGCCGAAGGGCCATATCACTGGAACTAATCTTGTGTAATTTGCCTTCACTTTCCACACTTGCACATGCCAGAGGCTTATGAGGAGAAAGATATGTTGAGAAATCTTTTGCATTCATGGTTGTGATGTGGGTGGAGGGATTCCACAGCGTCAGCTGTTACGGGCCCCCGTAGTGGGTCTCGCTCCTGCGAAAAATGTGGATGCATCGCAACTCTTCCAGACAAATCTATGTGCCCCACCCAAATAAATATATTCCATGTATGCAAGCAGAAACCAGATCCTTTATCCCTCCCAATGACAAACAAAAGCTAATCCTAAATAAATGAATGAATATGAAACACTCAGCTGTGCTTTGCTGTGCCGCAAATACTCTGCTTATCTATGCTGTGCTCTTCTCTTCCGCATGATGTGTGCCGAACCAGTCGAGGAGGGAGAGCAAGATGGTACTCCGGAACGCTGTTTTCGTTGGGTTGCTGTCTTGCTTGTGTCTTTGGGGGTGATGGTCTTTCCACTCAAAAAAAATATATCGAGGCACATAAACTACAGCACACACCTATTTCAGTGGATGTCTGAGTATAGCGGATATTTTGTTTTCTTTTCCTCGTGTTGCTCTTTTACAGTCCAGCTTTTAAAAGGACTTGATCTAATTTGGCAATTGACTTTTGACTAGTTAGGAGTTTAAACTTAGAATAGAAATCTTTAGAAATGGAACATTAAATATTTATATAATAATAAACATTATTTCAGTGACCTTATGGGTCCTTAAAAGGCACATTTTGAAATAATTGTTATGACTTTGCGTTTTGTAGCATTAACATTAACGAATCTACATTAACAACTTTTAATCGATGTATGACTTAAATGTGGATTACATTTAAAACCTGTTTTCAGTGTTGCTATGTGTCACTGTGTAATTAAAATATCATCGATGGTGGTATTTACATTCTCTTGTGTCGACCCCAGACTGCTGACAACCAAATGTTTCTTCGTCTCTGTTAAATCTGCTTATTTCTAACTATTTTTTAAAATTTTACTTTAATCATCAGATGAGAAGCCAAAGTTCAAGTAAGTTGCCTTTCCAATGACCTTGAACTATTTGAGATTCATGTTATGTCTGAGTGTATGTCCCTTTTGCTCAGGAAATACTGTACCAGAGGTGGAAATTTCCCACCCAGAAAGTAAAAATCCAGACCAAGATTTTGTTTCAACCAACCAGTTAAGTATAAAGCAAGGGTCTCCAAAGACAATTGTGGAGAGCGACTATCTGGTAGGTTTACTATCCTACCTGGATTCTGATGAACCACACCTGATCCTGGTATTTAACTGAGTTTGAGACCCGTGGTACAAAGACTCACAGTCTACTCAATTGGTTGGTTGAAACAGCTTGGTCTGGATTTTTACTTAATGGACCTGAAATTTCCACCTCTGGGAAATTGCAAATGCACCATGTTTGTTTTCATTTAAGTTTTTGAAGTACAGAGACATAATGGTTTGCCTTTAAATCACTGATTTGGCTTCATGGATTCTCTGTAGGCCAAGTGCACCTAAGATCCCAGATGGGGAAAAAGTAGACTTTGATGTGAGTAACTCTACGTGTAACATTCCCTTTCCCTTCTACAGTCTTTTGTTCCTTTCCAGTGTTCTACAGTGCAATCAAAGGAAGGCTATTCTGTCAAGTGAGTCTGACCTAATGTAACACGTGTTCCTGCAACATTCTGGTCTGCAGGACATCCAGAAGAAACGTCAGAACAAGGACCTCATTGAGCTGCAGGCCCTAATCGATGCTCACTTTGAACACAGGAAAAAGGAGGAGGAGGAGCTGATAGCACTAAAAGACAGAATTGTGAGCGGCACGTCTGATTAAGTTCACCATCTTTTATAAAGTGATCATCCCCCCCTGGTGGTTAGAAATGGTAACACACTTGACGCATGCCTCTCTGTGTCCGCAGGAGAAGCGTAGATCTGAAAGGGCGGAGGAAGTGAGGGTCAGAACTGAGAAGGACAGGGAGCGCCAGGCCAGGCGTGAGGTGGGCATTAGGTGCCACTAAGGTCAGCATGGTGAGAACCCCCCTTTCTAACTAACCCTAACGGTACTTGGTTCCATTTCCCATTACAGGAGGAGAGGCTGAAGAGAGAGGAAGCAGAAGTCAGGAAGAAAGCAGATGAGGATGCCAAGAAAAAGTCAGCCCTGTCAAACATAGGTTCATCCTACAGCAGCTTTTTGCAGAAGGTGATACCCACAGCATAGTGTCTAAGCCAAAGGATTTGAAATTCAGAATGCTTAAACAAGACTAACTAAATGCTCCATCTTCAGACGACACTCTTCATGCTTTAGAAAGTGCCTAAGCTAAATGCTATTTAAAGATTAATCACAAAGCAACAATACATCAACTGAAAGGCAATGTTCCATGACCTCTATCTATCTGACGGAGGCATGAGGGCCGTGTTTGTCTGCTGTTGCTCATACAGGCTGACCAGAAGAGAGGCGGGAAGAAGCAGACGGAGAGAGAAAAGAAGAAGAAAATTCTGGCAGAGAGACGCAAGCCTCTCAACATTGACCACTTGAGTGAAGACAAACTGAGGTACGTGGTCTTTTGCTCACTGAGTAACACCTAGTGCACCTAGAAATCAGTGGCTTATGGGATGCAAATCATGTGCGATGAAATCTAGAAGATAGTGATAGTGATTATGAGATTAGTGACTATGTGGACTGATATGCATCCCCCATGCACCATTACAGGGACAAGGCCAAGGAACTGTGGGATTGGATGCAGACCCTCGAGTCTGATAAGTTTGACCATATGGAGAAGCTGAAGAGGCAGAAGTATGAGGTGAGTCTTTCTCTGGGAATCATATTAGGATGAGTTTGGAGTAGGTCATTGCTCCTGTGAAATGCCATGCTGTACTAGTACCATTTTAAAAACATCGTAGACCTTCTTTCCAATGCATTTATTCATCAATTCTTCATTCTTGGCATAAAAATGAAGCTGACAGGGGGAGTATTTGCTTTTTGCGAAGACACAAGACTGAAAAGACACCTGTCTGTAACAAGGCACTTGCATCAACATCACCTTTTCATAGGATGTCTTATGGTAATCTGAAGAAAAACAATATATCTCTTCTAGTGTTTCCCGACCTGGTCTTCGGGGACCCGCAGACAGTCCACATTTTTGGTCCCTCCCAGCTGAGCAAAAAGTAGACTGCCAGGCAGGGAGCAAAAAAAAATTTCCACTGAGACAGTAATGCTTATTATCCAAGAGGTGATCCTTGTCACACCCAGACATGAATGCAGATATACTTTGATCCTCCCCAGGTCACAACACTACGTAAGAGAGTGGAGGAACTGAGTAAATTGTAAGTAATGCAGCATAAGTGTTAAAGGCACAGCGCTCGGCCCGGAGCACATGGTCTGTCTGCATGGGAAGCACTGAGGGGCTCAAGGCAGCGGGGCAACAGGTCACCATCTGCAGACAGGTCAAGGTCCACAAAGGAGATGACTAACAGGAAGGCTTTTTGCAAACCTGCTGGCAAATCCGAAACTTGGTTATTTCAGATGAAGAAATGTTCTGATATTGGGGAGAATTTTTTGCTAAAATTAGAAAATCAAAATTCGATACTTCCACACTTCAAAAGAACCTTCCCAGTCTCCTTTTTCAATTGTTCCTTACTTACATAAACTGAACTGTAAGATCTGTTGGCCCAAATGCTATAAGGCCTCTCGAAGGTAAGTGAGTGCTTCTGGGTCAACCAAGCATCTACTCTAAGCTTTCTGCCTAGCCGCATTCTCTAACTGTGGTACAGTCAGGACGTTCCCTCATCACTTCTGCTTCCTTCTCTTCAATGAGGTAGAAATTTTCAACTTTAACACCCTCCCTATGTCCAGCTTCCAAGGTCCGGCGAGTTTAAGTCCTCTGAGCCAAAAGATACCGTTGAGTTTCCGTAAACACCACAAGGGTCGTCACAGTAAGGAGTGTGTGTGGCTCGGTGTTTGTTTTCTTCCTCAGTCTACAGGCAGCTTCCCACTACTGGTCCTGCTACTGGTGAGAGTCAGGCTTTGACAAGGTAACCCATCCTGCTCACCTTTTAAAAGTGCTCATGTGTCATTTTCAGGTCATCTCTCTCAGAAACCGCATTGACGAGCTGCAGAAGCAGTAAGTACAGTCTGCCGCACCACCCTTCCTCTCCACAGGCACCAGCACAGCCACCTATGTATCTCCTGCCTGTGGAGGGCCTTCACTTTACTTACAGCATCACAATTCTACAAAGATGCAACCCCAACTTAACTAAAGAAAGTCACATCTCTTGACAAAAGTGTCACCAAATTCACTTGGACTTTGAAAACACTCTGAAAATCTGACCAGAAACGTGAAGGCCATCTTCGTGAAACGACAGTCCGATTTCATTTAGACAAATATGACTACCACCTGGACATGAAACCCTTGTGGATTACAAAATGTAGCATGTGGATTACAATGTAACATGTAACAGACCATACAAAGCCTATGCGCTGGTCTGCAAAAAAACACAAGCATAAAATACCACAATCAGATTAGACAGTTAAAGGAAATTTTTTCCTTTAATATCTTCTCCATATATAAATATTATGTCGAACCACAGATACACATTTGCAACACTATGTATGATCAACAAGTCTCGTTTTTGATATAAATTAGGTTGAAGAATTTGACTATGGTCGAATATGTATTGGGTGACAGACCAATAAAGTGAACATTCTATATATCCAATAGCTGAATATATGCAGTGGCTCTTTAAAACATGACCATCTGATTAACACATTTTTTTGCACAAATACTTTCAAGAGAGCCTCCATGCACCAAGGTCTGTGCTACTTTTTTTGTTAAACTTCCCATGAGAAAGAAAAGGCATGAATGCTCACGGCCTTGGCGTGTTTCCTTCAGCTACACGCACGAAACAACTTTGTCTTTTTTGTTAAACTGCTATGTTAAAATGGGATGGTAAGTACTGCATGATAGAAGCCGCACCCAGCGTGACACTGGTCACCTTGCAGGTACAGTCTCCTGTAGTGTGCGATCTGGTGTGGAATGACTTCAGCTCATGGGACCAGGTGCATGATTTAACACCAGACAGTGATTTTTGCTATGCGAGATCTTCGAGTGAATTCAAATCAATTTGTAATAGGATTTCATACTTCAAACATTAGCTAAACTACTTTATAATCATTAAAGTACAAAACAACTTCATGTAACTATGCTCAAGCATCAGTAAAAATGCTAAGTACTTACACAATCAGAAATGACAACTATACATTTAAAAAATTGAATTCACCCACCACAGACATTATTTTTGCACATTTCTTTAAAAACTGATAACTTAAACAGGTATGCCACACTGTGGGTTACCCCACTTAAGTTAGTCATAGTCCTAATTATTTCTGATTAATCACTGTTCTGCCTTCACCTCCAGCTTTGTGAAGGGTACATATCTCTGGAACTTCATCTTGTTGATCCATTGCCAAAACGGCATGCAAGAATCGAGCATCACAGGGTCACTGCATCAGGAAGCTGGTCTGGCCTGTGACCATAACCCTGTGGCTGTACTCTAAGGAGGAAGTGTGACATTTAACCATTATATCACTGGGAATAACAAATCACAGCCATAAAAGTGGACAAAACCTAATACAATTTCCCACACTGATTGGCAGTGAAGAACCTTAGATGCTGAAAAAATTATCATAAGCATGACTGTGATCCTGTAATTAGGAATGCGGTTATAGCGGGCGTGTTATTCATACCCTAGGTGACCTGTATCTTTGGTCCATATAATAATAAAATACCCCACTGAATCTCCAGCTAGTTTATGCCCCTACAAAGCTGAAGAGTGACAAGGTTTGCACAAGGCAACATGATGCCATTCTAACAGCACCATCGCTTAAATTCACCCTGTAAGTTAGAGTCTCACATACTTGCCTACGTAGCTGTCTAATGTAGCTGCCTCTTTGTCTGAGGGAGAGACAGTCACATGCAGCTGCCTCTGCATCTCAGGCAGACAGAGTCTCATGTAGCTGCCTCAGCATCTAAGGCAGAGTGAGTCTCATGTAGCTGCCTCTGCATCTCTGCCACATTACAGCAGCAAGAAGGGAGCCGCCGCCCGCCGCAGGAAGTAAAGAACCCCCCTGTGAGGCCCCACACCCAGCATGCCCCTCTCTTGTGGCCCGGACCATGGACCGCTCCTATAGGGGACCCCCTACTGCCACAGCAATCCAGACCACACCTACACAATCGGCACAAACACGACACACACTCCAAGTCTTCCCGCACGGTAAAAAAGCTTTTTGCTGCTGTTATAGAAATAGCTCCCACTGTGCCCCGACTGTGCCCACTCACTCTGGACTGCTGTCTGGTTAAAAGTATTTTTTTTTTGTAAATAAAGCATAACCCTTCAACAAAGTCTGTATGTCTGTTTGCCCATAAGCAGGTGTGCAATTTTTGCTCAGAAGATGGCACCCCCCCTCAGAAGTTAGCATGGTGGGGGGAAGGGGGGCTTGCTAGCCGTTACATTTGCCTTAGAAGATGGCACCCTATGTCCGCCTATGTCGCCTAATGGGTTGACCAGCCCTGCTCGGATTAAGTGATTATTGTAATGCATATGATCGGCCACATGGCTTTCAATGGGTCTGCATTTGATACCAGATTCAGTGACACCAAACAAAAATGTGCCAACTCAACATGCCAATGTGAAGGTGCTGATGATAACACCAGGCACTATTTCCAGGACCGGTATAAGAAATTAAAATTGAGGCTAGTTTATTAAAAAAAAAAAAAAAAAAAAAAGCCAGATAAGATTTTCACTAGGGCACAATGTTTCAATTTTCAAGTATGAAGAGCAAGCAATGATAAGTTACAATGTAAAAAGTCTATTATATAACGATTCCCATGAACAACGTACTCAATCCGAGCAACATATTAACACCTTCGTTACATAATGCGTTAACTTTGGCATCCGCAAACTCAGTTTTTTATATATAATAGACAGCGGGGCAGTGTATGTTTTTTTTTTAATTAGTGGGCGAGTTTAATTTCCAGCCCTGTGTGTATATCTTCTGTATAAAACGTAGAATGCTTATAATAAAAGTACGGGGGAAATAAAAAAAACTGAAATTACCAAGTGCATTTATTTACTTAAAGTATGTTTTCGTCTGAAAACGGGGCGTGAATTCTACAACAGGGTTGCCAACTTTCAGACACCTGGCGTGACACCCCGGGTCTTTGACTTTCACGCTCACGAAAGAAATCTTACGGCAATTCTGTATTATTCCAATATAAACCTAGAATTAGCTATATCAAACCACACAGACTATTTACAAGGTAATAAGACTCGTACATACATGTAAATACGTATGCAGACTTAATCGTATTTAATATTAATCGAAAATTTCACGCCAGCCAGCTGACCAAAGTTTGCAACTCTGATATAAGTAAAGGTTTAAATTTTTAACATGTCTCTTGACAGCGGTATCCTTAATGCAATATGTTTGTATGCACAAATTGGTTTGTTTCGAGTAGAAAAAAAGGTGAGGGACAGTTTGGATAAAACGACAGAAGAGGAAAAAATTAAAAAAACGGAATGCTAACCTCCTACTGAAAAGCGAGAGAAATGTGAAGAATTATCTAAAAAAAAGTCAAGCTACATCAGCACCAGGGTTTACAGTCCGCGCCAGGAGGGCGGCTGACGGGCCAGCAGCTACGGTAATGTTTGCGGAGACGGCCCAGCACCACTCCAGAAGATGGCAAAATTCAAGTAACATGTATTTCTGATAGGCTTTTCTATATAATCGGTTAACCGTTAGTGCGTATTTTATTCACGTAGACCTGTAATTCAATTCATAGGAGCAATCTTGTTTATAGTAATTAATATAATACTGCACTTGTACAAACACCAGAAATTCAACCCTGAGGAAACAAATTAATAATACCGCTTGGTGTTTTGGTAATATTTTTAAAAGCGGTTAACACTTCTCAGTTTGCTTCCGGATCCCCAAAAATACCGTAATATATCCTACCTGTAGGTGTTGTGAGATTAACTATGTCTACAGCGGCCTGATAATTTATATATAACAGAAAAACAAACAAAAAAACACCTTGCGGGACGATATGCTTCCATTAACCTTTTACACGCACTGCTGAAATTATTTTAATGAATTAATTATTTTCTAACTGTGGAAGTCGCAAACAAAATCGTTTGTATCATACAAAATACATATACTATCGAAGAACGCGTGAATTATTTTCAGAAGCAGTTCAGCACAAAGGTTGCATTATTACCTTTACACACTAGGTGGTGCTATTGTTCAGCCAGATTGCCGGACCTGTTTACGATCGGAGATGATGTGAGTTGGTTCAGCCCAGAAAGATGAGGTTTTTCCCCTGAAGATTGATTGATTTGTTTATTTCTTCATTATAGCAACAAGAGTATCCGAAACCTTCCGAGAAGTTTAGATTTCATTGTTTGAATTAATGAGTTACTGTACTTAAAATTCGGTTTAAATTGGTTGTTAACCCTGTGGAATTTTCCTCGGGGAAAAATGCATTTTTATTTAGCGATCGCATTATATATTATATACTTCACTTTTGTTGTAAAGTGTTTTGAATAGAACAATAACACATTTTCCAGTGTAAAACAATATGTAACAATGATTCATTTTAACTGGAAATTCCCCCGTAATTATGTATACTTATATGAATCTTCCAACCGAGCATAATGGTCACCGTCACGGGGATTAAATATACATAGAATTTTGTAAAATATAGACATTTTGTATGTATATATAATAGTGTGTGTGTTTGTGTGTGTGTGTGTGTGTGTGTGTGTGTGTGTGTGTGTGTGTTAGGCATATAGTGGGATTTTTATCCTTGAATTCTGCATTTCGTATAAATTTCATTTTCATTGTACAGACTTTTATAAAATATTTTAGTTACATTAATCAATGTATTTCTGAGAACAATAATACTTTTTGAAATATAGAAAATAATTGCCCATTTTACAAGAAAATATGTAGCTCATATTTAGGCCTATTGATAAATATATATATATATATATAGGGCTATTACATAGGCTGTATTACAGTATAAGCGCTCAGCATATCTTACATATTGCAAAATATCAGATATGTTAAATATTGCTGGATCCGCATATGTAGGCAACTGCGCTCTTTCATTACGAGCCTCTTCGGAAATCATACTACATCTAAATCATACTTATTTTTTTAGTGTTGTCAGTCCTAGCCTACCTTAAAACATAAAAAACTTTAAAGAATGAATTGTTATGAACCCGAACATGGAAACGGTTGCTTAAATATTTACAAGTAAGTCTGAATAGAAATTGATTACAGATTGTGCAATTATAACAATTAATTAGCGTCTTCACCACAGACGACCGGAACTACTTGCGTAGTACATTAGCTAGCGTTTCGTACAACCCCCAGCTGACCGGTATTTAAGGATCGGCTTTAAGGGCAACGTTATTTACTCGGGCGCCTCGGTTCAGTTTTCACTAAGAATCTTCGCCAGTCAGTAATGGTACAACGGGCTTTAAAATCAGTACAATAATTAGTTTGCGTCATTTAAAAACGTGAAACAAATATCGCACTTTATATAATACTAATTGTATTTTATAATAACTTTTGGATCACTATAACATATTTGAAGAAATATATAAAAACGAAAATAAGGTACGAATAATTCAAGTAACCACATTATCCTTATTCATAAACGCTGTAACTGGTAACGTTAAAAAACAATTTCAACGCATTCCTAAATTTGTTAGATATTTGCCCATAACACATTCACGATTCATTGCCATTGTTGGTAACGGAGGAAAGACAAGGCAATGAAAAATTATTGTGATTAACAAGTAAATAGGCAAGCATATAACACGAAGTTAAATTTGATGCGACGGATCTTAGGAGACCCAAGGAAATTAAGGAACGATCTTTCATTTAGTTTTGATGCATTTATGGCATTAGAAACGTACTTTTTCCTGTTTTGCATGTTTCTATTAAGCTAAAACTTAACTGAATATAGGCCTATTAGGCCTAGTTAGAAAGAACAAATGGTTGCAATAATTTTATCTTAAGATAATTAATAGCTTATTTCATATTAATATTTCATTGGTTCAATTTAAACAAGCCACAACAAAAATCAAGACAGGATTTGTATAAATAGCCACATTGATTTCTTTATTAAAACATTGACATTCACTCAGGTTTTCATGTATAAATATAAAGTTAAGCATTTGACACGACAAACCAAGCATCTCTATAAACTGGCATCATTAAATACATTTGTGTTTATTTAGCAAAAAGGCTCTTAATTACAAATGTACAAAAAATGGTCCTCATTTTCCAGATTTAATTTGCGTTTTTGTCTGACTTCTCCGCGCTAACAGGCTATAAATGATCAACATTACACGTGGCACATAAATTACATTGAATGTTTCCCTAAAGCAGTGGTCGAAAAATATGATACAGTAGTTCCACAGGCAAACACACCCATTTAAATACAAGAAGGCAGGCTGAGATGGTGAAACAAACAACACGAATGAACCACGAATGAATCAGGGATACTTCGACTTTAAGAACAGGGACACCGTTCTATTATTGGCAAAGAATTAATGTTTGGCGGCTCTTCCTGTTCGTCAATAACATGCAGTAACCAAGTCCAATACTTTGTCTTCCCGCGTCCTTTAAAGGAATTAATTGGCATTCAAGAATGTATGGTCAAAATAAGTCTTTTGTCGTTTTAGGAACCAGGACGTTTCATAAGACCTGGTAAATGGGGTTTGAGTCATGAGTGGTTTGAGGGCAGTTGGTGGGGGACGGGACGGATGTTACTGTCTCCCCAAGTATAGATCCTTCTCTAGGGGAGGTGGGACTGCCTTCGGACCCCTCCTGACTCGGTAACACAGGACAAGTGGATGCATCTGTCGAAATTCGCTCCACAATGCTAGATAGACAATCCAAGCTGGAAATCACGGAGTTCTTGTTACTTCTGGAATCTGAAGAGAGATTAAAACCCGTGAGATGATGTAAATAGATTCGTTTGTGGCGTTTAAAATACGTGTCTTTTTGATAATGATCAAATAGCCTATACGGTAAGTATAATTACTTTGGATAATGTTTTTAAAAACATTTAAATAACTAACAGACATTATTACCCTATATCGTGGCTATAAGAAAATAAGTAATTTAATCAATGTTGTTTCCCCAAGTGTACGGCGTTTTAAGAAAGAAGCTGCGCTTACCATTTGGAGTTTCGGTGAAGTAGGTACTGTCATAACTGTTTCGTCTCCTTGACGTGCATGTTGGACCGTTAAAATCCATCTGAAGGAAGAAATACAGACGTTTGAATTTTTCGGAAAAAAATGTGCTAAAAATATACGAATATCGATTATTCGTTATTTAAACGTAAGCCTACTACAATCAGCACAATAACTACACACATTAAACTAAACTGAAAGTGGGAAAAAGCTTTTCATTTCAAATTAAATAATTCAACTGTACAAATCATGCTGCATCTGCATTTTTCCTAATTATGTCTTACCATTCCGTCTGAGCAATTGGATCGGGGGCTGGACGCGTCGGAGTCGCCGCTGTAGTGCTCCAGCACAGGGTAATAGTTCTCGTCCTGTCCACGGAGCAGGGACTGCAGTGACTCGATGTAGTTGATGGCATTTCGGAGGATCTCCACCTTGGGCAGCCGCTGGTTGGGATTCGTGGACGTGCACCTCTTAAGGGTCTCAAATGCATCGTTGACTTTGCTGAGTCTCCTCCTCTCTCGCATGGTTGCCGCTTTCCTGCGATCCGCGTTGGTGGTCTTCCTCTTGCACGCTTTGCACGCCCAAAGAAGGCACCTGCCGGCCTGGTGGTGACCGCTCGGAGCCCGGATGTGTTCGTCCTCTTTGTGGTTGTAGTCGTCCGGCTTCAGCAGGCCCACGTGAACCAGCCTAGGGTCCAGGTCCTCGAAGAAGTGCATGTCACTTGTGTTGAAGCACGGGTCGTCATAAAAGTCGTCTGCGGATGGAATTGGAAAGGCAATATCCGACAATTCCATCGTTTTTTCGATTCTAAAATCGAAACCAACTGAAATATTACTTTTGAATGATATTGAGTTTTCGCAAAATGTCCAGACGTATAAGTCTAACGGGACAACCGAAAAACTGCTTAACTATATATATATTTTTTAGTGTTGTCAGTCCTAGGTTCACATACGACAGCACCCTTTGGGTACCTGTTATTGATCCCGTGCATTGCGTTATTTATATGCGTATCAGTAACTTGAAGGCGTGTCCTGTCCATCCGACAGCTGGGCAGTCAGACCAATCAGCTCACTTCTCCCGGATTGGGGCCCCTAGGAGGAGGGGCTTTCGTGTCACGCGTTTCGTGCTCGTTTTTACAGAACCTTCAAGAAACATAAATAAACCTTAATTATTAATGTAAAAAGGAGCGTATATAGGCCTATAGAAATTCCAATTTATTTTCTAATAATTTAGTTATGTCTGTTTTACATGCTTTAAATGACACTTGAAATTTAACACCCTTGTTATATTTCTCATAGATATCGCATTTAAATAACTTTTTAATAAATGTAAAAAGAGGAACTAAGGAAAATAAATAGTTTTACGACATAACACTACATTAGATTATTGACGTATTTAAATTACTGTAAAAACGATTAACAGAAAGAAAAAATTATTTCGTAGTCGTTAAGTGTGGTGAGGCTTAAAATTACTTACGAAATCTACAAGATTTTTGTACGAGCGAATGACGGTTTGCTATAAAATGGAGGTCAAATGAATCAGCACAATTTTTTATTTCAAACAGAATTATTGGCGATTTGAAGCGGACTGTCAACGAATTCATACATAGGCTAATTATTGCAGGCTACAGAACGCGTCTCCTGTTTCAGTTTCTATCAAGGACAATAAAATATAAACACTGGCGAGTTAACTCCGATATTAAATGCGTTACTGTAATTTATAAAATTCATATGTTAGGAATATGAAATCATAATGCCGAATAAAATTATCTATGTCCTTGGGTTAACTCAGGATGAAAAGAGCTTTTAATAAAGATAAGGAAATCTTACAACGAAAATGTTCATCGTAATGCTGAAATTTTAAAGTTCAGTGTGTATTCAGTTTTTGATTAAGTTCCGTTATCTAAATCGGTGAAGACGTTTACTGCGGGAACGAAGACCCGATCCGACATGAAACCCCGGAGGCAGCAGATGGCGGTATAGATTTGACGTGCCCTTACCCAGAAGGGATCACTCAAGACCGACTTATTATAAAAAAAAATGTGATTTCTAAGTACAAGGCTGCACATCGGCATGTTGTTACTTTTCAGGTGTATGCCGAAAGAGCTGAAAATAACAGGAAGCTTACAGCAATGAGAGTGATGTTTATTTCATTTACAACATAAAAACTTAAAAAATAACGGGTTCAAAGGTTGTTTTTTTTAATTAAATACACAGAGCAAAGGAAACATAAATATTACAGCCTAACACGTTCGTTTCAATTTCCATTGATAGCACAATAACTTTGGAAGTATCATTAAACATTGGATGAAATAATTAAATAGACGATCAATAAACACACAAAGCATCGAGCAAATTGAAAAACTAACATCTCAACTACAGATACCTGCATTAATGAAAATGTTTCTCTGCGTATATACTAAATTATTATATTAATGTATATAATAAATTAATTTGCTTGCTATGAACTTTAAATGTAAACAAGTTGAAAAGAAAAAATGAACCCACTATATCGGCTTATACGGTATTCAACAGCAACACTGAAATGCATGCTTTCAATGTACTGGAGCGAACACATGAATAAAATGAATTTTAATGAACAACTGATTAGTGACCCACTATCTGGACTTCCCATCTCCTTCTAAAAATATCTACATATCTGCGCATTTTATCAATATAGTTTTGAACTTTCAAGTTTAATAATTTATTTTTAATAAAAAATAAACACTGAAATATCCCACAGCAAATTTCCCATCCACACCCTAACGCACCAAAAAAACATAAATTCAACGGAATATGAGTAATAGGAATTCAGAGTTTCAAAATCTCTTGCTATTGCTAATATAAAAATATCATTATGGTCAAATGAGAAACCGTATAATCAGTAAAAATGTTACCAAAAGCTGACAGTGAGTTTCCTGCATCCAGTTTTATCATGGATAAAAATTTTCTTAAGCAGACCATCATAACATTCTGTGTTTTTTTTCATATATTGCTTGCCGAGGACTGAAAAGTCGGACCCTGGATGCAAAGCGGACTTCTTCCCTCAATAACACCATTTGTCATTAACCTCAGCCAGTGAATCTGGAATGTTATGTATGGCAGAATGTCACCAAAACCTGGTGGTCCACACCAAACACCATGCACCCAAATCGCAGCTTAAGCTGACTTGGACTGCTAGAGCAGGGGATCTCAAACATTGTGATCAAAGGTCTGTATCAGATTTTTGGGAACAGTCGGTCAGGGACAGTTTCCAATAACAAAACAGCATTTCATGACTATAACTTTTGATATAGACATCAATATATAACAAAAATGTGAACTTTTTAACATTCGCTGATCGTTTAGACCATCATTGGGTGGGAGTTACGACGAGTTATGTGTGTGTGTACTTTGGTGGTTCTACATTGTATTTTTGTACTTCAAACCATATTAAGCCTTTTTATGTTAACCATATTGATCCAAAGCTGCATTATGGGATGGGTCCGGATTAGCATGTGGTTTGGTCTGCATCTGGAATGCGGTCTGGACTTTGAGAACCCCTGTGCTAGAGAGTCCAACATAAACACCTGACAGTGCACTTTTAGCACTGCAAATTCTATCCTTACTCATCCAACTTTACTCATTGGCTTATTCCAAAGGAAGGTGCAGTTTGGCGTCTCAGTGGGCAGCACATTAGCCTCACACCTCCAGTGTCAGGGGTTCAAATCCTGCCCCCAACCCAGTGAGTGGAGTTTGTAAGTTCTCTCCCCGTGTGGGTGGTCTCCTGCAATTCCAAAACACGATGACTGGCTTCATGTTTACCAAGGACTTGTACGAGGAAACACTGCTTAATACTGAATGTACCGATAAATTAAATTTGGTTTGATTGGAAGGTCGTCGGTTCAAAACCCATGGTCAGCAGAGTGATTTCACCATTGGGCCCTTGAGCAAGACCCTGAACCTGAACTGATGCAAAAATTGGCTCACCAATTTTGTATGTTGCTTTGGATGAAAGGATCAGCTAAATATACAGAAGTGATCAACAACAGGAACACTGAGTCCAAAAATTCCTTTGGAAGGAAGGGGGTGGAGTCTGGACAGGGTGTTTATGTGTACAAATGGGAGTGGGTGAGCAGGATCAGACCCCAGACAGCTTCTCCAGAAGCTGATCTATTAGGTACTCTCCAAAGCCGGCCTTATGGCCGCCGCATCCCACTCTCTTGGCGTTGGTCAGGAGATCACCCAGTTCTTTGACCTTGGGGACCAGAGGGGCCAGGAAGCAGCCCTTGACCGTGCTGGCCGTGTGTGGGTCACCATGTTCCCCGGCCAACTGGCAAAGCTCCACCATGCACGACAAAAGCTCCTTCCACTGAGCAAGCACGACCTCCAGGGCAGGGATGAGGGAACATACATCCTCACACCCAGGCTTCTGTCGGATCAGAGAGAACAACACATGCAATCAAATCGACCTTCCGACAGACTTTACAAGACTTTTACTCATCCTCACTCTAGTTTTCTTATATTTAACCTGATTCCAAGATATTTCATATCATGAAAAAAACTACACATTCACGCAACATTAATGCACATAGAAAACTTTTGACAGATGTGTAACACAATACAAAGTCCAGTCCAGAAGATCAAATGTATATCCAATAATAAATAGTATCTACAGCCTGTAACATTCACCACAGATATAGAATAGAGTAATTTCGTTCATCAGGAGTGAACGCATCACTGCAAACAGATACCACAAAGCTGAATGACAGAATACAATTTAAATAGAGCTGACAGTTTCACTTACGTTCTCCATCTAAAAGAGAAAATCATTGTCAGAAAGACGTATAGTAAATTGATATGCTCCGATTTGGGTCTGGTAATACAGCAGACCCATGGACCACTGTTTCTGTTTTGACAACAATGTACAATCTGTCAACTCCCCAAGGTGTATCAGTGTTTCAAAATCCAGTCTGCGAGGACCAGGTTGGGAAACACTACTCTATATATAAGAAAGTCTATATAGAGATCACACACACACACACACACACACACACATATATATATAATTAATGAAGACTACTAAGGCACTTAAAACAATGTTACCAACACAATTGCAATTTAACTTGCTAAACAAGCCAATTTTAAGCAAAGACATTTGTAAGCAAAAATGATAAAATTAAAAACATACAACATTGTCTTGTATGAATCATTGTCTGGCATACATGATAATACATGCATGAAAACAAGAAACTGCTTTTGGTCTGGATGGATAACAAGGTGTTCGAAATGGCTGACGACGGACGTTTCGCGGTGCCTCCGAATCGATTTCGCACGACTCGTAAACCTACGGGAGCAGAGCAGGAATCACGCAGGGCGATGTGGCATCGCGATGGCCTGTATCTGGCTGTCCTTCCACTGGCCACTGCGCTTAATCTCCCTCAATTTTCCGGAACTCAGGGGTAACGTACACTCTGGCCGGCATTACCGCGGGGATCTCCGGAACGCTGTGGGGGAGGTTTACAGCCTCACCCCGGCTCATGTTACCCTGCTATGGAGCGCTCTCTTTCGTAACATGGGATCTTGTGTTGAAAAGATAGTATGACATACAGACAGGAATGACTTTAAATCTCATAAATCACAGGCCCTCAATCAAAGTTTGTAAGTTTTTTTTTTAAATATATAACTGGCATGTGTAGTTTACGACTAAACACCTTCATTAATGAGAAAGATGAAGACCAAACATTTGGGAACAAGTCCTGCATGCAGAAGCTGGACGATCTGGATACATATTGGGAAGCAGGTTGGGTATGTTGAGACGCTGACTTGACTCAGGCTGTCCAGTGTGCTTGGGGGGGGGGGGGTTTACCTTGATGTCCTTATTGCAGTAGCGTGCCCCCCGCTCCGTCAGATAGGCCAGCATGGCCTCAGCCTGCTTCTGCTCCTTCTCCGATTCCTGACGGAAAAAGCCAGCTACCCTTGGCAGGGCGACATCATGCTGCTCAAATATCTGAGCCTGACGGAAATGTAAGAATATAAGGACATGGTCCATAATGCAGGGCTTGGCTGCACTCTGGCATTTTTAAACGCTGTAATAAATTAGACACACCTTACTGCCAATTTCCCTTCAAAAGTAACTACCCCTAAACACCGTCTGAATATCAACCAATTGCTGAAGGTTACGGTTTACTGCCCTAAATCAATGGCTATGTTTTGGCTTTTCACATCAAGCCCTGCGCCCCCAAAGGGCAACTAACACGGACTTTTCCATCCTGCCCAAAACTATAAGACCTTACTGAAGAAAGCAGAGAACTTTGGGAAAAAAACACTGAATAAGGAATACTATCCTGGATGTAAGATTTAAGTGGTAAACTACTATGCTTGTTCAGAGTATTTTGAAATATTTTCTTATAAAATACATAAACAAAATCTGCCTGATTTAATGACTTAAGTAGTGATATTGAGAAATAAACGCGGTACAGTTTAAACAAAATCTGTTGTATAGAAAAAGTTTTAATTGGTGCCTATTGCTTACATGTATAGCCATCATTAGAAGCGCGATGGTGCCGCTGCTCTTACCAGCGCTTGCAGCCTGTAAGCAGCCTCCATAATCAAAGTCGTTACGCCGCAGAGACTCTCCTCCACCATGCCTGGCAGGTTCTGCGTCACCCGGCTGTCACTAAGCGCTTTGTGGTTTTTGCAGACAGGGAGGCTAGTTTTCAGTCTTTTGCAGCGTGGTTCCGACATATTTAAATGTCACAGTGAAGCCTGCAAAAGAGTAACGAAACTTACAGTGTCAAAATTTGGAATTCGGTCTTTTAACGCTATGCAACTTATGACATTTATATTTATTTTTCACTTACGGAATCAGTTGAGTCCCAGCAGGTTGTTTGCCCCACCCAAACAAGTTAAACTTCTGCAACGGTAGCGGCACAGCAGGACGGCATCTAAATGCTTCCCGTGCAGCTGAAGTTCATCCGGAGCGCATCCTGTGCGCTGCTGCTGGTGGAGAGAGGAGACGGACATCCGAGCGATGGGAGCAGCGAAAAAATAAAATAATGTTTAACCGCTACGAGACGTGCGCGGGTTTTTCCCCCGTATTGCAAAACAGGCGTTTGTGTAATTTCTAACGTGATTTAGAGCTGCAATCTAAACGACACAATGAGATCTTCCGTTTTCCTCACAGTCGTTCTGTGTTTGTGTTTATACGGTATATGTACCTATATATACACACACCATGGGATATTTATAAAGAATTTGTAAATTTTGGTGAAAATAAAATAAAAAAATCTGTAACGAAACGTCTGCAGCTAAACAACAAATACATTTTGTATGTACTATATTATGGTGGACTGTTAGTCCAAAAAGCTTATTTTAACACAATATTAAAGTAGAATAGGCTTCTATGTGTAAAATACTGTATATGTATGTGGATTCTGCCTTTATAAAAGTTTTGTTATGTCAAGAGTATGGCTAAAATACCACAACTTTGTTTTATTTTTCTTGATTTGTTTATTAATACATTTTGAATTTGGAAGGGGGATTTAATTCAAAGAGTGCAACCGAAGTCTATAAACGTCCTTTTCTGAAGTTTCTGCATTATACAATGATGCCAGTCTGTGAAGTTCAACTGCAGCATTTCCATGTGCCACACGTAAACACGGGGGTGTCCTTGTTTTGGAATGTATTTCCCCGCTGCCACGTGGCCCTCCAAATCCGCAGTCCCCCTCGCCAACATCCCCCCAACTCATACCAACCAGCCAGAGGGGGTCTCATGTTACTGCGGGGTGACCACGGCCACGCTCCCCTCGCAGATGACAGACACGGGGGACTGGGCACTCCTGAGAGGACAGCTGACCCTCGTATTAGAGCGAAGGGTACCCGGCGGAGGTCAGAGCCGGGGTCAGAGTGGGGACTGGCAGCCTGATCTGCATGGTACTCCCACAGTCCCCTGGAGGAACCACCCGGGAAGGAGTAACATTTACACCCAATTTGCTTCTGTAATATCAAAATGAAACACAATACCTATGCAAGTCCGAAAGTATTATCTGTTAGTATTACATGAACTAATAAAACAGAGAATGCTTTGAGAGCATTATTTTTAAACTGATCATTTAGGTTACTCTCCCAGAAAATCCGAAGTATGATACTGACTGGCCTTCTATCTAACGTAATGTATAATTTTACAAGTACAAATTATAAACGTCAGAGTGTGTCTAAAATACCACAGATTGGTTAGGGGGGGGGGTCGTTCTGCATGAGGATCGAAGACTTCAATATTTTAATGAGCATAATGACGTATCAGGATCCTCTTTACATTGCTTGAATGGATGTTCGATTACATGGGGGTTTTCCTAGTTTGTGTCTATTAACATTCTTGAAGGTGGAACTTCACAAAAATCTGGTAATATCCTCTGTTATACCTCACATTTATAGGAATCCATAACAAATTATGATTATTTCATTATTTAGTCATTTTGAGCGGATTAATGTCGATGAGACGGCAAGCTGTCTAGTCATATTGGATCATGGGTATCTGTGACAGGATGGACCTTTATATGTAAATATCCCAGTATAGGATACAGAAGCTGAATGGGGCTGATACAGATGCAAATGAAAAAGAAAAAATATTTTTTGTTCACCATTGTAATCAAAAAAATTTACTAAAGTAAGTTTGGTGTATTTTTTTTCTGTCAACAATCGAGGAATAATGTATATTGACCTAATTAGTTTTCTATTGGGGTAACAGCATCTTCTCTCTGATGAGGAGGGTCCCTCAGTGGGACCACACTGAGGCTTTTGTCCAGCCTGATGCCTCCCATGAAATAGCTGTCCACCCCAGGGGGGACAGTCAGCTGTAGCAAATCTTGCCACACCCACAGCACTGGTGCTGTGTCAGTCCACAAATTGTGCAACATCACCATAATTCATGTTTTTCTTTATTTTGCATTTTTTCACTCCGAGTAATAGGCCTTGAAATACCAAGCTTTGCTTCTCCTAAATCTGAAAAACAGAAACATAAATTCAACTGTATAATGTTTTACATCGAACCATGTGGAATTTTTTGGCATGAATAATTATTTTATGTAGTAGGGGAATGTTGCATTAAAAACCTCAAGAGGCTCGAGTGCCTCCACAGTTTTGTAAGGGGAAGCCACTGGCCTAATGTACCAGCAGACTGGTCACCCAGCGATGGGATGGAGCTGGGTTCCACTGGAAGAGGGGAGTCTCACCCTCACACCTGCCACACTGCGTAACGTGGGCAGCGGAAGGCCCTCCACGGATCTGCCATGACAACGGAGGCATTGTGCTGTGATGTAGCACAGTCTCAGACAGCGTCAGGTCGTGACCCTGTGCGTGTGGACGACGGGGGATTGTGGGCCGGGTCACGGGATCCTAACGTTGCTGGCAGAATGGCAGCATGGGGGGGGGATTACTCTCTGCCCACCCCCACTCAACTGAGAAGTCCATGATCCACTCTTACTCTATGTTTGCATGGGCTAACCCCAGGTATTAGCCTTATGCCAAAAGCCCCCCAGGCGACCCCCTCTGGGCTGTTTGCACAGCCAGGATTGTGTAATTCAATGTCCGAAATGGTTAAGAGAGCAAAACATCACCCTGGGGAAGTTATTCAAACACTCCGTGGAGCTGCTGTTCCAGAGGACAAAAACTAGACCCTCATGGAGGTAATATACACACAACGTTCCGGGGTCAGAGAAAAAAATAACGGAATCATCACAAGAAAACATTCTGACATGGAAGGAACAATGCAGCCACGAGGATGAATGAAATTAAGTTGAATGTTAGCAGAATATGTCAGTTCTGAAAGGGATCTGACAATAGGCACTTTGCTATGTGAATTTTCGAAGCTGCTGGACAATGAATAAAGTTCAAAATGAGCCAAAGAGTCAGTTTCTGAATTGTAGGTGCATCAGTCAGAAAACATGCAAAATTATTTCATTTGGCATGAGGAACCATCTGAAAAGTCATAACAGCAAGCGCCAAATATGAAATTTCTGCATTGTCAAAAAGGAACAGTGATAAAAGCTCATAGTATGTGACGGATGGACAATTAACACGATGGTTGACACACATCACAAAAATGTAACCACAGTGAACTGGCCACTGAATCAGCACGCTGTGACCCAATCTCAGCAAAAATGTTATGTTGTGAGTTGCATAATACCAAAGCCAGTATACAAAGACACATACCCTGGTACAAAGTTGTCAACCACTTTACAATCATCATATCCGGAAAATAGCCAAATAATGACTGTAAGGTATATTTATTGATGTAAGACCTAAATGGAGACAGCAGAATGAATTAAGCTTGTTTTACATTTTGCAAAAAGGTCAACACAAAGATAATTTGTCATTGAGAAGAATTTTTGGTTATTATTTTGAAAAAATGACTCTACTTAGTCATCGCCACTTAAACATTATTAAAAAAAAAATATATATATATATATTTTAATGTTACTAATTCTCTGAAACTGGAAAGTTTTGAAAGAAGTGTTATCTGACATTATCCCACTTGCATAATTTAGGCTAAAGACATAATCCGGAAATGAAACGTAGTCTTATGTGTTTGAATGCTGTTGTTACATACAAGTAGCATTAACCTGCTAAATATATTTTCTGGGCAGTGAGGACAAGGTGCATGTTTGTGTGTGTGTGGGGGGGGGGGTTAGAGCTACAGTGTTGCCAGATTATGAAAGGTATGGTTCATTAAAAGCCCTTATTTAACAGCAACATTTAACAGGACACCCATGGCTAAAGGCACAGCTGGGAAAGTGATCAATAGTCTTCTCCTGTTACCGAGGCGAACAGCTGTCTGATTAAGCGATTCTGGAACATCATCAGCAGATCATACACATGCCCCGTACCCCTGGAAATTGTGCCCAGAGTCTGACAGAAGGGAATCCAAACAAAATACAGCCCCCAGCTAGAACACAGCAAGGGACTCTCTTTATTAGACCCCTGTTTTTCATTGCCTGTACCCAACACCAAGCCCTGGTCCTACATGAGCCTTGTTATTACGGGTATTTTCACCACAAGGTACCAGTGGCTCTCCCACAGGAATTTACAAGGCTTTTGTGTGTCTTTGAGAGGTTCAGCTAAATCCTGGATGGTCAGATGCACATTCAGTTTACGTTGCCAGCCAGGGCTGGGCAAGAGGATACACACAGTCTCCATGACAGACACTATGATTACACAAAAAATTCACAGGAATACTCCCTGCTTATGAAAGTGATAAAAATAGTCGGGGCTCTGGCGATTCATAATGCAATTTATGATGTTATGCGGCATGAATAAAACCAATACACAGCATACAATAAACTATTACAGGGCTATCCAGTGAGGAACTCCTCTTATAGAAGACTAGTGGCTTGGTTGCTCTCTATTAGCATCACTTTGATCTTCACATCATAGGTTTTGCAGTGTTATAAAAGCTAAACTATGGATGCAGCAGACTTTTCCAACATGTGATTTTTTGCGTAAGTATGATGAGAGGTTAGTGCAAGAGAGAAACCAGTGGTTAAAGAATAATTGATAACACTGTACCTATTTGTACCTGAGGGGGCACAAATACTTAGTAACTTGGTTACTACTGAAGTACAAATCATGAACAAACATAGCATCTAATTGAGATAAATGCATTGCGATTTATGATGAATGAACATGATCAGTGTGTTATTCATTACTTGTTCCTTCAGTAGTTCCTCAGTAGTTCCTTCAGTAGTTCATTCAGTAGTTCCTTCAGTAGTTCCTCAGTAGGTCACAAAGGCTTTCAGAATTAGATATAGTAACAAATATACTAATTGCTTGAGATAAAATGTGTCATGTTTCATTAATGATGAATTAACATGAGATCAGTTTTTAACTAAGACTGTGGTTAATTCATATAGAATTAATGGCATAATACTAGGTTTTTTTGTGGCCTTTCAAGTAAAGTGTTACCCAATATTTAGAATAATTTAATGTGTATCTTCATGAGACATCCTGCCTGCCAGACATAAACACACACCTTGCTCAGGAGAGA